AATCCAGCGCCATTTTCGTTGCTTGTGGCTTGTAGTCTTTGGACCTCTTGATGACCCATTTTACTTCCCTTGTCTTCAAATACTGGAAAAACAGAAACAAATTAAAGAAACATGTTTGCAACAATCCAGAAATAATCTAGGTAAAATACTGCCCCAGAATATCTCGAACGTAAATGAAAATAAAATGGCTCTCTGCTTGATCTGGCATACATGTAAGTACAAATTCTCCAAAGAGGGTCTTAAACTAAGCTCTCTACATTTTGGTCTAGACTTTGAAAATTTTCTTATCATCAGCAAGCATTCAGATATGTGTAAGGTGCAAAAGGTACATGTAGTACTTAAAATGAATATGCGATGTCGAAGATGATTTTCCTTCACCATCGTTCCACTGTCGCTCCCGTTGTAGCGGCTTTTAACTGAATCGTTTTTCTTTTGAAAATTTTTTCATTAGTTCAAGGGTTTCACTTGAAATCAAACTAAAATAAAGATAATGGGTAAGCTCCAGCCTATGAGATAAGCAGTTCGCAGTGTCTTATATAGTACGGAAATAAAACACAAAACTGGATCGACGGCCGGAATTGAGAAAAAAATATGATCAACTGTTTACCTTTGGCGAAAATGTAACTTTTGACGATAAATGCCCTGTACACCTTGATGGGAAAAATCGTTGCGATCGTCTAATCGAAATATCTCAATCTCAGAGACTCAAACGAGGGCCTCAAATCAGTTTCACAACTTCGAACTATAAACCAAATAAACAATTACGGTATATATTTTACGGTTCTTCACGTATTGGAGGTCAGCGGTTTGCTTGTGGACTGATCTAACACCTCTTAACACGCCTTTATCACGCTTTTAACGAGTTTCTCACGCAACCGTAATCTCATTTCCGTGCATTGTTCAGCGTCTTCTTTAGTTACCAGAAATCCTTACGTACACGCTTAGTGTCAACACTGTGTAGTACTTGTGGTTAAAACAAACAAAACTAAAAACGTTTGTTAATGTCTATTCCCTCAGTTGTTCTTGTGTAAAATTGTTTTAGATTTTAATTTTCGTCAATAGATCTGCCAAGATAGGCAATAAAATAATTCATGATAATTGCTTCAATTATTGTACACGAAGCAACTTGAAAACTGTTGAAAACAGCTGAAAACATTTGAATGTCCCTGTGGTTAGAGTGACGCAGTTTGAAGTACACATTGCATTAATCTGTTAATTTCGCAGATCGCGCAAGGCAACCCATACATCACGCCAAATTATTCTATCGCTTGTAAGTTGTTAACAATGTGATAACAACGCCGGTTTCCAAGGAAACTTATCATTCGTGATCTGTGCAAGTAAACACGCTGTAGCATATCACGAACGCGAACATACCTTTCAGTCATGATTTAGTACAGAGCTATATGTGATATTTTTATAGACGTCAATTACGTAGGTGAACAAACCGTTATTTCCTTGTCAAAACTCAGTTCTTGAAATAGATCTGTTATTTTTATTGACTTCATAAAAGCCATTGACAACCCATTGTGTATACACCGGTAGAAACAGAAATTTAAACAAGTGTATTGTCGTCTCGGAGTTTGCTTTATCTTGCATATTTGGAATAGGCCAGCTGAGTGTCTTGCAGTTGAAGTAGAGCATTCTTTAGCTAAAAAACATTACAGTAGATCTTGTTTCCATCCGTGCACAAAGCTGAGAGTTTTACCTGCTGGTACCTGCACGGGCCCTTGGTTCATTTATTCGTTGTTTGTTTAACATGCTTGTTAAACCTGTTCCAAGGCACGAAAGCCACAAGGTGCTTTGTGCGTTGGATATGAATGCGGTGCAAACTTGTCACATAGTGTTTCTCACTCAATTTCTTAATTTCGTTTGGAGTGGGGTGTTAGCTCAGCATTTACGTTCACTTGCAAGTCTTCGTGGATGGTTCAGTTTGAGATGAACTGATTTTTAGGGCATAGGTGTCTAGTTTTGTGACTACAAGCAGCGGGCGGTCACAAGCTTAGTGTTATAGGAATTGGTTTTGCATAACGGTTTACTGAAAAACGCTTCCTCACTCCATTTTTAATTCAGACCGTCTACTTAACGTTTCAACTGTGCTGAAAACCGAGTATAGCAAATAAATACTAGGGGTATGAACTGTTTCGTACTAGCATACCTTCCTTATGTTCGAGGACACCAGGGCAAGTTCCTTTAGTGTTGATCGCAGACCGTTTATTACCCAGGGGATTACTCCCCAAAATGGTGAGGTCCTGCTTCCTAAAACCTTTAGCTTATTTCAAACCAGAATATGTGATTCTCGATATCCTATTTTAGACATCTAAACTAAGTACACGATTCTAATACACCATAGCTTAGCAGGTATACCTTGCATCTCAGTCAGTAAACATTTGAGGAGGCTATCAATTTCCGGATGTTAGTCGAGAAATATTAGTTTCTTCAAAGAACATACCCAGTTCCAGGCCACAGTGAAAAACATATTACACAATTTCAGATCAAAAAGGTTGGAAATCTGTCTATTTCGGACCAAAAGCGACTTGAGACCTTACTCTTTGCCGGGTGTACACATTCCTGTATAGCTTATACAGTGGAGTTCCCCCGACTTCGTCATCCTCATTATAGACAATATGGTCACACTAATCTTATTTTTGTTTTTTTGTTTTGTTTTTGTTTTTGTTTTTGTTTTTGTTTTT